TAATAATTAGTGAATCGTTTAACATTATTTTTTTTTTCTGTAAACAATATCCTCTCGATTTTAAAGAAATAGCTGCCCCATTGTCGTAGACAATCCTAGAACGCAAGCAATGGAAAAATATTAATAAAAATACGTACCTTTTGTTCAATCATTTCTTAATAAAATAATTATAATTTACATGCATTATGTATATTTATATATATATATATATAATATTTATATATAATATGTATATATTTAGCAAATTATTCGCGATGTCTCTCGTTACTCAAAAGATTCATTGACGTAATCCGTGTTATTTACATGACCATGCTTGTGCTCTACTTTCTTTGTGCGTTCGTGCTTTACATCAACAATTACAACCACAATAATATTTATAATGAAGCGTGCATTATAGTGTATTTATAATAATCATATGAAATTAAATACTGATCTCTTGCTTTTCTTTTTCTCTATATCGTTCATAGTTCATACTCTTTTCTTTTTTCTTTTTACTAGGTTCGTTATCGCTGTATGCGTACTAAACTTCAACACAGCAATTGCATATTCTCATGCAGAAGAAGAGATTTACTTAATTCACAGCAATGTGCAATCAGACGACTTTAATGTTTTTGCTTTCGTTAAACATACGGCTTCGTATAGAGGTACAGTTATAAATATGGGTTTCATTGTGAAATGTTACTTCAAAGGTAAGGTACACAATTAGGAATAATCTTCTCAGATTTATACTCGTGAAATAATAATAGAGAATGACGATAAAAGATGAATCAGGATGTAAACTTCTACGAGATCTAACGGGACTCTAAAAAAGAGTTGAAATTTAAATACTGTCGTTGTTACGATTTCGTCAATATTAAACGTTACGTTTCGATGCAACTTCTCTTAATTATATTAGTATATACATTTACATGTTACATGCAAACATCTGAACGAATATTAAGAATATTCTGAATATAAAGAACGAACTTTAAAAATATTCATTACTGTAGAATACAAAGTACAAGATGGAATGCAATAGTTGAGACGACACGTATAAACAAATTGTTAAGAATTCAAGTGTGAATTACATTGACCTGAAAAGTGAATCGAATAGGGCAGCGAATAAATACTTTGAAACATCCTACGTAAACGACAGAGAACATGCACTAGCAAGACGTAAATTTTCATTTTTTTGGTTGGTGTTACTGGAAAAAGAATGTTCAATGATATTATTAAGAGCAGCAATAAAGGATTGCATCTGAAGTCGACGTCGACATCTAAAAAATGATATTTCCATTGAACTTTTTTCAAAGTATTCATTCAAGTTCGATTGTATATCTTTTTCCAAATTTATAACTCATCTATTTACAACACCGGCATCTACATAACATCAACAAAGAATTCACAAGGATTTCCCATCGCAATGCGAAATGACTGTCTACTACCAGATAAGTCTTGCTGGTTCTGTTGATTCCCTGAACCAGTTCCTGTCTGCACAGACTGTTCAGAACCACTGGAACGACTGCGACTACCATTAGATCTTTTTCCGTTCGAACCGTTCCCATTGCCAGAATTCTTACTTGGCATTGTTGGCACCGATGGAATATGCAATTCGGACTCGGACGCCGAAGAACACGACTTCAAGTCATGAATAGGTTCTTTGCAAATATGTTCGCTACCTGCACTACTACCCCCTGTTGAAATTCGTTCCTTTAAAATACATCCTGAACACTTAAACTAGTAATCTTACAATAATATGTCTCACCTGAGCCACTATGAACACTTTCCTCTCGATGATAACCGTAAACGGTCGGTTCATTAGTGAAATTAAATGGCATTGGACTATAACCAGTTGCAGAATGAGGTGCATACGTTCCTGAATAAGGCATGTCCCAGGCATTTGGCGGAGGTAATGGTCCAACTGTATCGCAGTCTAATTTCATGCTGCTCATGGCTGAACACAAGTCACCGAATATATAATAACACTGTTCGGAGAATGTTATCTTATTTACTGTATGCCTAATGAAACCAGCTTTCAGCATGAGAGACGCGTATTTTCTCGCATCACGGCGATCAATGAACCCTTCTACATGAGTGTTAAGCCAATCCACCACGTCTGCGCCAATAAATGCATTTGGTATTGTTATTTTAAGCCACATACGTTCACGAATTTCTAACCCTGAGTCAGGTCGAGCCATTGCTCTTACTACTGTTGGCATATCTGTATTGACTGTAAGGTGAAGTTCTTCTAATGGTCCTAGTAAAAAGTTATTATTTGTGCTTTATTATATTCAATAACATTCCTCTAGCCTATATTATCTGTTTTGTTTTATAGAAAGAATAATTACTTTCTGTATCTGGTAATGTGCTCGCAAGGCTGCTCGATGTTGATGTTAAAGTTGTAGCGCTTGGCGGGCGTGGAGGAAAACCTTCACCCCTTATAGCAGCTGTATGTGCTACCCATGCACCAGGATCTATAGGTCGCACAGGTTCTGTACGTGGTATTGTAAAGTATCCTTTCGGATTAGGATCCCAACACTTTGCTACTACTAGTTTGATTGGTCTGAAAGATTCATATAATAAGACCACGTTAAGTTTACCTAATGCAGCCCTATAAAATTGAAAATTTTATTAATATAAACATACCCTGGTTTCTGAACCACTTCGCGCAGTACTCTAACTGCTTCGTCATTAGACATATTCTCAAAGTTAATATCGTTTACTTGAAGAATCATGTCACCAGGTTCTATTCGACCATCTAAAGCAACAGCTCCCCTGCACATATTTATAAGTTTACATGCTAGAGTAATTACTTTTGTATGTAATAACAGTATGTTTGCTACATACTCTGTCCTAAATGTTTATTATACAGAGCCTTTCGTTGAAATGTTACTATCGACTAATTAAAACATACCCTTTCATTATGGAACCAACATAGATGCCCCCATCACCACCCTTGTTACTTTGACCAACAATACTAATCCCAAGGAAGTTTACAGTATCCATATTTAAAGAAACTGTTATAATATTTAGGGACATTGTACTGTCTGTGATACTGCTAAAGGATGATGTTCTTGACATAGGTAGTAATCTGTGACGCCGTCTTCTTTGTGGCCTACGCCGATCTAATATTGAAATATAAAAATTAATTCTAAAACCTGATTCCCTGTCTATCGAAGGATAAACTATTTCTAAACTTCAATATAGATTTACCTAAAGTAGCCCTGTCAACTGTACTACTCATATTAGTGTGTCTGCCTGTTGTTGATGTTATACGGCTACTTGCATCGTCATCTGATTCTAAAAATGTGGTAGTCTCTAAATCTGAACTTAAAATAGAAGCAGTCTCATAACCATGGCCTGATCTGTGTTTTGAATGACCATTTATACGAAGTCCTGGGTTAGTAAACAAATGAGAATAATGTTTAGTAATAGTAATGATTTTTTAATGATAATCATTTCTAATGAAACCATTAATGAAGAAACTATAATGGTAATAATAAAACTTTTAGTATGGAAGACAGATTAATAAGATAGCATACCGTTATACTTGTTTTTGTATTTGTCAATGTATTTGTCTGAATGGTGTCTTGAACTTTTATGTAAATGATGCCCTTGCCGACTACTTATAATACTTTCAGTTTCAGTTAAAGTGTCATCATGAGAAAGTGGTGGTGGGCCACGATTTGTATGACCAGGTGTCACATGATCAACACGATCATGTTTTGCCTCACTGTGTGCCACTGAATCTGTGCACTGTGATGCTCCATCTGAGACATTACTGCCCTCAGCAGACACCAACTATTGGTAAATACATTTGTTTATTTCAACAACAATTTACTCAATTAAACAATAATTAATACTATTTTGAAAAAATTAAAAAATCACTCTCTCTGTACCCTACTTATACAATGCACTAAATTACTCCATACATGCTACAAGTTTTGTGGATACGTATATAATCACAGAACCTGTGTAATTGATTATAATTATCTATACTAAATTTGTACTTATACTTTAACACAAAGTTTAAAGTTTATTTCACAAATCCAAAAACTGCTTATTTTTATCCTTGGCAAAACAATTTTGCTAAAAAATTTAATTAATATTAACTTGAAATAAATACTCTTACCCATGACACAACCCGTCCATTGAAACATGGAAGATGGGCATCATCATCCACAATTTCTTCTTTTACAACACTGTTAAAAAAAAAGAAAGATTTTTATTGCATCAATTCATTGATGGAACATTGCAAATTAATGCTTCCTATATATTAATAAAGATTAATAATCGATAAAAAACAAATATATAAAACAAAATCTGAAAAATTGAATCTTAATGGTCTATGTATTTCTTAATTATTACATAACTTTTATTTTATCTAATTCATTACAAATTATTTAATGTCCTTAGACCCAAGGACCTTAGCTTGATACTCAATAAGAATGTATCTCTGAATAAAAAGAAGCTAATAAATATAGATTAAACACAAACAAAAATTCGACATGTTTTCTGAAAAAACATATCAAAAACCTAAAACATCAAAGTTCGAATTACACATTAAACATTAAAAATTGAAATTCATTTAATACTACTCTTCCCAAGATAATCATTAGCTCCAAAGTATCTTAACCACATTAATAGCAGATATCTATAAGCTCCCTATAGAAAAATAAAAACATTTTTATTAAACAGCTTTCACGCATCATCATTGTTATAATTAAAGAATCCCCTCAAAGTTTCCCAATTACAATACTCCCAACTAAATAAGTAACAAGCATGATGCATACATGTGTTTGCCATTAACATCTCAATGCACCATTCGCAAATGCACCCGAGCCAAGATCGTTCCCCATAAAATCCCATTTCTTATCCGAACTAAACTCGAGCTCCTTTTGTTTGGGTACACCCAGTATACCGGAGTGAATCATAAAATGCTTAAAAAGGCTCGCATATCGGAGATTTAAATGGACCGAGAGGAGAATGCAAATCGACTGTCAAAAAACGGCACGCTGCCTAGGGTGGAGGCGTAAGGATAATTGTCAAAATGTGACTGTCCGCGTAAGCGGATACTGTTTAAATCGCAGGGCATTGACTCGTCCCGAAGATGAAAGATAAGGTGGCCAGGACAGTGTCAATCGGCTCCCGTACATTCCCATTGAACGTACGCGAGCCGACGTCCGAGGGGACATGCGTATCGCCGCGACACTCACCCGAAATCATCGTCCATTGATTTGAAGAAATACTTGTAATTCGGCCGATTCAAGACATTCTTGAAGTCGGCCAGAGTGACCCTTTCCGGTGATATGGTGAGCTTCACCAAGTACGGGGTCTCCTCGTCGTCGATATGATAGATGATCTTAGTCTCTTCCATCGTCGGCGATTCTGTTATTACGCATGCATTTGCGATGGAAAAAAAACTGATTCACCGAAGGCCCCACTAACTATGAAACAATTCTCTTGAACCAATATGGCGCGTCACAGTTCGAGCCAAAGCCCTCGCGCGTACAACGATCGTTCGTTCATGTAGCCTGCGGAGCCTACGAGAGCCTCGCTGCGTGCAACATTATCGGGAACGCGTGCGGCCAGTTACGAGGAAGCCATTGACATTATTCACGATAGTCCCGCGCGACGCGTACACGATGCAACCGACGAGCTGAATTAAACGTCAACATTCTCGTCGACATTACACACACTCGCGGCGGATCGCCCGATACTCGGCAGTACGCTCGAGAATTGGAAACGAGGGAAGATAGAAAGACGATCTACGGAATGATTTTTACACCCTCCCGGCCATTCGGTGGATCCTTCGACAGATGGCGTCGAAACACCGTTGTTCAATATGGCGACTGGATGTGAAACCTACGACAGTAACACCTCGCTACTGGCACAGACGAGTTATAGGGTGGACATCGCAAGCTTACGGGGCTCGGTCTCGTATATTCTGAATTATCGACTGTGTCAAAAATCGAAAGATCTGCTCCGCCATCTATGTCTGGAATCGTCAATAGGAAATATGTATTGAGCAAAATAATCGAAGTTGACTAAGTAGGAAATACGTTGGACCAGTATACAAACGTATCCGTTGCGACGTTGCCGTGTCTTCGAACTACCGAACGCGCGGAGTTATTAGTATTTTATGAATTCATCAGGTGTTACATAAGATGATTCTTAACACTAGATTTACGGATCGAGCCAGTTTGACTTATATTGAATTTTATAAATATTAGTTGGTAAATGTTTGAGTCGATTTTGATTGATTCAATTATCTGATTATGGTTCGTAATACATTTTTAAATATTTGATTTTCTCGATCTAAACGGACGAACATCAATCTTTCTGGGAACAATAGAATAAACTGTACAATAAATGTTTAAATCTAGTGTTAACATGTTGGATGTCATAGGGGTCACCGATGACCTCAACCAAATCGAATTACTATAATTCATTCGATTAAATGATGATTGTTTGAACACTTTTCTATATTATAAGTAATACCACCTAATGCAGTGGCATTCGAGATAAAATGCAATAATAATAAATCCAATTACATAAGTAGACATTACATTTTCATTTTCCATATTTTTCTCGGCAAAATCGTGCAGCAAACGTGTAACTAAAATTTTCAAATCACTTTCTCAATTTCGTACACTTCCAATATACATACTTCACAAGAATAGAAATTACATATAATTTGTATTAATCAATTTATTATTATATGCCATACAATTGTATATCATTGTACATTATTATATTACATCCTCGTATTTTCTTGTAAAAACTAGATATAAACCTGTCTTCAGTTTTTGTCACTCAGATCTAGTATCCCACCGTGCGTCGCGTTCAGTTCAATAAAGAATTTCTGATATCGGCAACACTGTGCTGATTGTCATTTAAAATTTCAATATTTTTGATTCTTATTTCTATCACTTACAGCGCTGCCATACAAAACCAGCGTTAGTCGGTACGACAGGGGGTGACGTGGAAATGGTACGGGGTGCTAGCACCCCCGAGGACGGGTGATCGAATTTTACATTGAACGCTACGTCTATCCCACAGCTCGTCTGTGCTACGGGATTGCTTCTCTGTATGTGCATGTTAAGAGCGCGCCGCGATCCCTCCCAGGTTTGGAGGAAGGGGTTAGTAAAAATATTCAAGATGTATTTTTATAGAATATGTTATTGACAATTCGCTTTAATGATCTCGCTCACCATAGTTGTTCGGATGGGGATACTTACAACGTATTCAACGATTGGCAGTTTTCACGTTAACGATTGAGATTTAATTTCGTTTGACCGTTGATTACCTGAAGACAATGCCAGGGAAATTAGAACATAAGCCCTCCATTAATACTAGAACCACCATACCAGTCGAAATGACTGGTTTTAGTTTCTCTGTTGATGATTGATGTCTTAGAATTGAATACTCGAAATCTTGAAACTAAATTCACTTGAGTTCTATAACGAATATCCAAAGAGACTGAAAATATCTATTACAATTTTTATGGGGATTACATGTCAATCGTACTGAATGCTCTAGTTCTAGTGTTAACGTAGAAAAGTGATTGCAATGGTTTCGGTTTAGCAGTTGTCAAAGAAGTACAATGTATTTATAGTTGTAGATCACTATGTTGTTAATTAATGATTCATTACTAATTACGATAAGGTCACGCCGTACGAAATATGGTATTCAGATTGGTATCCTTAATGTACAATGGAAGTTTAAATTATTGTTGAAAATTGATATTATTTGTATGATTATACAGAGTAATTTTCTTAACGATACTTTCTTATAATACTTGAATAAACATGTGATACGTAATGAAGTAATAACAAATATTGACCTAATCGCAGTAGTATCGTTTATGTTACTATAGAGGGGGTTAAATTTACAGTTACAAATTAATATTTAGCTGTTACGCGACTCGATAAAGTCACGCGCATAGAGATTGACTATTAATTATTGCCGGTTGCGTTGTTTTTAATTGGCATTAAATTTGTTCGTCAAATGAAACGAACAGCGCCATCTGTAGCAAAATGGCCGAAGTTTCAGGCACTCGGACTTATGTACATTCGCAAACCAAGTTCTCCGCCTTATCGACTTACAACTCGAGACTGATCAAAGCGTCCTCTTTTCACAATATGACTAATAATTCTAACGTTCAGGTAACATAAATTGAAATCCAAGAATTGTTGATAAAAAAACTGGTATATGGTCAAGATTGATCCGAGTAAACCAAAATCGTCTGATCTATACCATCTTACTACTTAACTGAAGGGAAATCGAATTGACTAAACCTGAATTAAATTGCTAAAATTTACTTCTTTCTTAGTAAATCGGATAAAATACATATTATTACATAGTACCTGATTCATTAAAATTCTTTTCGTCTCTAGCAAGCACAACTGGACATTTCTTAAAAACTTTCAAGAAATTCGTCAAAGATGTTCAAACAGGAAGAAGATTCTTCGAACTTGCACGCTTAACCAGTAGATTTGCACTTAAATTAAAAACTAGTCCCACGTTTTCATACTTATACATTTGTAAGAATGGCACATAGCTGGGCAGGCTGCACTACAAAAGAGATTACGCTAAGAATCGGTTTTATCACCGGTCATCTCGCATTGATTTAAATGAGCGATCAGATTAATGATGCAATACGTGGCATGCATTGTATGTACACGTGAGACAGCAATTAATGCATTACACAGTCGTTACCGAAGACACGAAACTGTCAAGCGTCCATATTCCGTCAGAAACAATAAAACCTCGGCGATTAAGGGTCCTAATGACTCTTCTGCGCCACGTCGTTTACGTAATTCATCCATTTCTTTTCCCAAAGAGACAGGGCAGCTTTCCTCTCCTCATCCTTCATGCTGCTGTAAATCAAAGAGTTCATGGCCAGCTGTTTGAGTCCCCTCAGATCCGAGCGCTCGGACATGAGGCCCATGAAAGCTTCGTAGAAGTCGTAGCTCAAAGCTCTCGCGTTCCAAAAGCCTGGGTCATCGTTCGATACGACTACCGGGTAGCCTTCGGAGAACAGTCGTCTAGCTGCATGGTTCCTCATGTCGTCGACGAGCTTCAAGACTTGATTCGAGATTGGGTTCACTTCTATAGCGATGTTCATTCGCTTCGTCATTTCGAGGAGGAAGGGATGATAAACTAGTGCGTACCTGATGAAACGTTTATTGAAAGTCTCAGGTTTAGAAGATATCTGCTCGTCCGCTTCGCGATTGCGCAGTCTCTGATCGAGTTGCGTTGCCTGCGTTTTTTCATTTTTCCATTAACAGGAAGTTAAACATGAGTCTTACCGTTGCGGAAACTCGTATTCCAACGTCAGTTTAGCACGCGTAATTCGCAGAATGATTAACAGTATTAATTATACGCTACGTACCCGTGACCAATGCGCCGCGTATTCAACAAAATGGCGTCGACCAGGTTCTCGTCTATCGACGAACCGTACCAGTTCGTTTCGCCCGCGTGGAAGAAGAAATCCGTGTCCGGCGCGGCGTTCGTTAATATCTCCGCGAAGTACTGCAACGTGTTCCCCTTATCCTCTTGTCCAACTAAATCGAAACCTGCTATGAAGTTCGGATACAGCTCCTGCAGCTCCTTCAGCGTCTTTATGTACTCTTTCGCCTGCTTGCGGTCGACGGACCTGTGAGGCGCGTAGATCAGTTTCACCCCGACGAAATCTGGGTGGTCCTTCTTAAATCTGTGCATTTCAGAAAATTCTATAATGTTCGAAGCAACTGTCCAACCGAGCGATAGAGGACGCGTTGACACGTTCGCTACCAGTGTCGTATATTTCTGTCGGTTGCAGTCCTATGTTTTATGTGAAGACAATGAAATTAATCCTATAGATATAGCTAGTTAAGCTACGAAATTACATTTAGGGATTCAATGATTCGTTTTAGTTTCATTGGTTTCAATAGTTTACAGGATTTATCGAAGAAAGTATAATTGAGAGGATCACTGAAACGCTGGTAGCGAACGCGTTAACCCCTTGACGTACAATTTTCTTCGCGACGTTCGTCTAACAAATGTTACTATCAGTGATTCGAGAAATTTCCTATTCATTGTGACTGAAAGTTTATTTAGAAGATAGAACCATTGAGAGTAAAGTCAGTTGTCACTTCTACTTGTTAACCCTTTGCGGACGAATGTCGACATTCCGACGAGATAAAACGTTCATATTTGGAAGACTGAGTCCCGGGCAAACGATTTACTAGGGCAGCAAGAGATTAGCATATAGTTTCTGCTGTTGCTATCATTTAAGCAATTAGTATATAATTTAGCACCATCTATCGAAGCTCTTCTACATTTCAAAGAATTTTCCTCCGCAAAGGGTTAACACCCTCGCTGGTTATTATCAAGGGGTTAAGCTTTAAGCAGAAACATTACTAGCCTGTCAGCGAGCGTCTTGTAAATGCCAGCAACGTCCTTCGGTTTGTATTCCGTGCCATTGAAGTCGTACAACGTAGGCAAGGTGGATCGCACCTCCAAATACATTACATTGTCCTCGTAAAGTTCCTGGAGAGCCGTCAAGAAATGGTCCTCGTAGACAGGCTTGAAAGTGACCATCGGGTGGATGAAGTTGAAAATATCATTGAACTTCGACCAGGCCTGCTCCAGGTTGCTATAAGTTGAAACGGCATTGCCGCAGTCCATGGTCAGTCCCTCTTTAATTTTTTTCTCCACCCTCGGCGCGAGGAAAGGATGCTTGCGCACCGACTTCAGCAATTCCCATTCGCAGTCTTTGCTCGGTTCCTCGAAGAACCGCAGCTCGAAGGTCTCGTTCGTGTCGCAGACGTACAGATTCTCGCGGAACGTGATGTTCCGGTACATGTAATCGACGGAGACCAAAGCTGTGTCGTGAGCGTGCAGCACCGCGCCTTTCGGCATGTCGCGGATGAGTTTGTACACCGCGGACTCGTCGATGTCCCTCTTCGCTAACATGAAGTTCCGGCTTGGGGCGAACTTCGTGAGGTTCTTGAAGCCTGCGATTAGCGGAAATAATGAGGAGATCGACAGTGAAAAGGAGATCCGAGTGATTCGAACTTGGATAACATCGTGGACACTGCGTTAAGAAGAAATGGTACCGCGTTGGTAGTGGATAAAGTAGATTATTCGCAGGACCAATTGATGCTTCTCATAAGAAAGTATACCAACTTCGCGCAACGATTCGAACGAGTAAATTACGGGGTGACTGTAAACGCAAAGGGGCTGGGCATAAGAGGCTCTTGAAGAACAAGTGGATGATTAACGCTAAATGCCTCGCCGGTTGATGCAAACCTAGTCGAAGGTCAAGTCGAATGATTTGCTTATCGAATGAAGGTCGTACCTAAAGCAACATAGTTATGCCACTAAAGTAGCGTATTATCTTCGCGAGTAGAACTAAAGGAAATCGCTATCAGTTTTCGAAAACGAGCATAAATACCGACAGTGCAATAAATGTCAGTCGTTACATGTATAAAAAAGAAATATCGTGTTCATATCTTTACCGATAACAATGAATTCGTTGAACAACGACAGTACGTAGTCATCTAAATTTTACAAGTAGCTAAAAATTTCAAAGTCGAAGACAATGAACCAACGAGAACAAGGATTCGCGAGTGAACAAAGGAATTCTTTCGAATCTCACTCTGATCGATGCTAACGTCTAACCATGCATCCTAGTCTAATCGTTCGTACGCGTTAATTATATAAAAACACGTGGATCGAACAGGTTTCCTCGTCGCAGTCCGCGTCGGTCGCATCAATGTTATCGATAATTTGTTTTCAAAAGAACACGAACCAGCCTCCAGTTCCCTCCTCTTCGCATTCATTAGAAACTCGTTAGCCCGACGCTCAATGTCGTTCAGGGGAAGATTGGCGCCTAGCATGAACCGTTGCTCGTAGTTCAGTATCTGTTCGCGGAGGGTCGCGTAGCTCATCCGCGGCATCGCGAAACTCGCGGCCGCCAGGCCGAGCAGCAACGTCGCCGAGAGGAGAATCACTTTCCTCATGATCGGTGATCCGTGTCAATTTCGTCGGCCGACTAAGTGATGAATGACGCCGCGGATCACGGGGCCGATCGCGATCCGATCGGCTCGACAGTTCGCGTTCTACTGGCATCAACACGGCCACATGCTGTGTACTTTCTCACAGACGCATTGTCAAAGGCACAAGAGGCTGACACGCTTGTTCGGTTATCATTGTATTAGACGGCACTCGAGGCGTCCAAGACCTTTTTGTTTCCCCGGTCGAGAGAAACAAAGGTCGAGCGTTGTTTCCTTGGCGGCGGCTGAAAAAGTTAGGGGTGCGAAAGGTGGACCGCGAGGAGTGTCCGCGCTCTAGCGTTGCGTGAACCGTTTCATTTCCGGTGTACGAGAGAAGGTAGGCTGCGGTTACTCGTACGACGCGCCAGTTACAATTTTAAATTGTTCGTCGACTGTGACATTCCGGCTCGGCATGTTTATGCAACGAAACAAGTCTGATGAAGTTTTTCAGGCCGCCGGTAGCTCCATTGAAACGGTACAGGAAGTTTTTCTTTGATAACGTTAATATCTCGATCTAACGATAAGTCGACGTCTACGTTCCTCGCATCGTTGACCTGAAAATACGAGATTACAACGGCCTCGATTAGATAGATTATCAGAGGAAAAGGCTTGATTTTTTCTCGTGGAAAAAAAGAATCTACCATACCGTCTTTAATCTTTCTTCAGGGACAATCTGTACGTGATGTAACGAGCGCTGGCTTGTAAGAAGTACTATCTATCGGGTTTGCCTTAAAAATACGATGCAAAGAGTAGTCCCGACAGCTTTTTGTCAGTCGTAATTACAGGAAATGCGTGTCCTTGAGTCGAACTAGGGAAGATCGATGCGTTCGATTGCATAAGCGGTCGAAATCTCTCGAACGAGGCTTCTCGAGTTTGATTTGAATGTGTACTGCAATTTTCGACTATGACTAACTGACAGATAACGAACCCGCATTCCGCTCGATAAGATTAACAAAGGATACACAACGAAATCGTTGACAAGTATAATGGATCGCTTGCATCGAGCCACGTTATCGTTAATCCGCGAACGTAAATAAAGATAACTCTGTTTCTTTATAGTTTATCGTCGACGAAAATTAGTATTGGATGTACGATTCAGAAGGGTACACACGTCTGCGAAAAAAGAAGTTTATTTCCAGTGCAGACAAATGATTTGTTACAAAAACGCAACTGTTCAGACGTAACAAATATTCAATTCGTCGGACAGAATATAAAAACGCTCGTAACAATGTTAATAAATAATAATTTATTAGAACCGAGTCTCTCTATCGCTACACGGGTAGATGTATCAACAATGTCGCGGTCAACTTAAATAGAGAACACCATCCGATCGAAATCTTTCAAACTCGGTTTGCCGAAGAGGAAACTTTCGCGTACAGATTAAGTTCCGATTTCCGCGCGGAATCATTCGGGGGAAATCATCTTCGGAAATCTTGATCCCTTGCGCTGGCAGTACGTAATCTAAGGCACTTTCTGCTGCAAGCACCTTCTGTTTACATAACTACACAACTGTTCGCTGTTCGAGTCTATGTAAACGTTGATTCTCGATTGTTCGATCACTAGTTAATTGGACTAGCCTACGCGATATCAGGTCATTCCATAAATCTTTGTTGTATCCAACAGCGCAGGACGTCTCCTTTGAACCTTAACTAATTTACGATTAAAGTCACACGTGTAAGCTGAAGTCTTTCCTTCGCAAACATAATGAACATCGTACGTCGCTGTTCAATTACAAAGTAACAGTTCCACTAAATCCTTCGTAGTTTAGATGAAGAAAAACTGATAACGTCTGTTTCTATATTTCGGAATAATAAATGCATCGAGTAATACGTTCGAGTACGTTGAATTCATGTGTGCGCGTGTACGTACACACTTTGAGCGACCATTGTTTACGTAACTATGAAAAATTTATGGAATGTACTGATAGAGTGATTAGAAGAAACGTGGCAAATGAAAATTCTAAAGAAAGAGAGAAAAAAAAACGAAAATTTCCTAAATTCTCCGAACGCGTACCACGTAATTTTGCTCATTCGTTATGAGTTGACTGTATCGCAAATGCCTTTACATTATCACGCATACAAATTCTCTTCGTCTTTTATTGGTACCAATATAAACTGACAGCGTGAAAAAATATTTATATTCGTAATAAAAGTACCACTATTAGAGACTTAAGAATTAATAGCTGCACCCATCGAAGTAATACTAAGAATAAATAATTTTAATTTAGAAATGATCCTTAACGTACTTAAGTAATCATATCATACTGTAGTAGTGGGTCGTTACGCGCGCGAGCGCGCGCGCGCGCACGAGCGTGCGTGTGTCTTCTACGGTGAGTGAATGATGTTTATTGTCTTATGTTGTTTTATGGAGATGAACATTCGCAAACGATTATAGACAGCTAGAGGTATGGTGAATCACTTCCGATTACTTTTTCCTTTCGTTTTCCTATTTTTTCTCTTTTTGTTCCTTTTTGTATTACGATGGTTTCCCTTATTAAGTCTATGCTAATGAAAATTCATTTTGTTTGCTTAACAATATTACAATTGGACCATACTTTCCCGTATGAAATGAATATCTCTTTGCTCTCGCTCGCGAAAATATCGGTGCTTCTCGGTCGCACAAATAATTTAATCGAATCACTTGCTCGTCGCGTGTCTCCTGTGTCCGTCGATCGCGGAAATGAAATGTCGATGTTCGATAAAAGAATAGTTTCTTTTTGTACATCACGTTCGACGTGTACGAGCCGCCGTTAATAAGGAAACATACTGAATTCATACGATAATACGAGGGGAACGCGAGACTGGCGTCTCGCTTGATAAATAAACGGAGCTACACTCTAAGGATACTGGTCCATAGAAAAAATATATACTCTTCGTCGTATTTTCCGTATTAACGAAGCCGACACCTCGCCAACGTAACATGCTAAGTACTAGTGTCGCTGTCCGCCCCGTATAAATGCAATTATTTTCACGATCGAATAAACTCGGCAACATTCGTCACGCTCGCGTCAAACTTCTTCCATTCGCCCGGACGATTTTGCATCGATCCAGTCACGCGGAACGGCGCCCGGCTACTTTGTAATTAAAAATATATATTTCAGTACTGTACGAAATTGCACAAGTAAAACTCTTGGTGGTCGTTCGTCAGAGATTTACCAGGTATCTAAAAAGCCAATTCGTTCCGGGGGTTCGAGAGGAATTTCGGGGGTTTCCGTGCCTATCGCGCGTCGAACCTGTCGTCGACGACCCTTACTAGTGCACCAGTCACGTTCAAGTGTTTTCTACAGACGGCTATTTTTTTCATCGTTCCTTTTTCTTTTAAACCTTTTTTTTTTCTTTTCTTATTAAATCGTCCTATCGGTGATCCCTGAGGTAAAAAGCGTCAATGATTAGGACATCGAAGGGAAACAAATTATCGTCTAAATCGTTGTGCCACCATTTTTTTCTTTCCTTTTGTTTGTTCTTTTAGAGAGTCCACGGAGCGGTTCACTTCCGGCCGGTGCTAGGAATTTCTTGAGACAACCTTCGAAAATATATATAGTGTACGCCCTCCCTGAACAGAACTTGTCGCACGGGTGTGCGATTACGAAAAAATAACGTCTCGGAGGTATCGAGTACGTGGTTGACGCGATTATTTCACGCACGATGCGTAGACAGGACCGCCATTTTCGGGGTTGGGGAAGCGCAAACCATCGCGTTAGATCGTTGATTATAAGCAGCGCCGATTGGCGGTTACATGATCTACTTACAAGATGAGCGTGATAACGATATTGAATACGGTTAAGAGGTTTTCAAAGATTTGTCTGCGTGCGCCAGTGTCAGGGACCCTACCAACGACACTAGCGTACGGTCCAGCCATGTTATGGGGTTCGGATAAAGGAGACCGCCTTCGTAGAATCCCAAGTGACCGCCGTGTGCGAGTTCTATGTATAGCGTGTTGGGATGGTTTTCTGCAATAAAAGAAGTAACGCTTAAAATAAACATTTGGTTAAGAACCATTGTCTAGTTTCATTTACTTTGTACGTAGAAAATCATAGTAAATACCATCAACGTGTTGCAAGCTTTTCTTTGAATATTCATTTTGTTTAAAATTTTAACGTTTAAAGTGAACACCACAGTAATCGTTTCTAACGCATTTAAAAAATTTTAAGTATTCTAAGATATCTCGGACAACGTGACTGGAGTGATAAGTTTCTAACGGTACCGCGACCATGACCTGTATTAGCTAAGGTCAGTGAAGGTCAGTCCTCCAGACACAGTGATTTCCGTCGATGACTCAATATAATGCTACCATTACTCACTGGCATGTTCCTTCATAGGATCCAGCAGTTTGTCAGGTACAATGGGGTCGTCCAACGCATTGATGAACACCATGGGCGTCGTAATGTTCTCAAGGTAAAAAATAGAGCTACTCCATTTGTACATTTCCGACACGGATCGAAAGTTGTGCACCTGTTTCGTAAGTGAGAAAAATGAATTGCATTATTCCGCTCCTTCGACCGAGGTACGCGCGCGCAATACATTTCAATGTAAACTTCACCTTCCTCGTGTACGCCTCGTCGAGTTCCGGTAACGTCGCCGCCGAAATGATGTCCCGCTCGTTCAGATTATACTTCTGCTTAACCTCCTCGGACAGCAGTATATTCTTGTGCTTAAGTATAATACTCTTCACCGATTCCGACATAATGTAGAGGTAAAACCGCCGGAAGTTTTGCCAGTTGAGTAGGAACTTCGTACCTCTGGAAAAAATTAATTGACAGTTAGTTTTCGTTACCTTATTCCCGACGAGTTCAACGCGAGACGCGGAAACGTTAACCCTTTGCTCCTATGTCGACATTTTTTGAAATAGATTATATTATTACGTTATTTTCAATATTATTAGTAAGAAGAATCGTTCACGGTGTTCTCTACAAACTAAAATGCATTTCAAATGAAATATCGTAACGATTCCCTTTCGACCGTTCTATTTTATAACTATCGATGCAAGGATGTCGGAAGTCCAACAACTTCCTTATTACGAGCAACATGGCGCCACCATTAATCTTGATCTCAGTTTTATTCACGGGTGAGCTAGTCGAAGTATTTTTAAAATAGATTATATTATTGCTTTCGATATTATTAGTAAGAATCATCTACACTGCTCTCTACAAACCATAAAACTTAAAATTATCTTCTGAGTTCAATAATTTCCCCTGAATGTTGGACATTTCCTGTAGTCAATTTTATAATCGTTATTGCAAAAGTCGAGGAGTCAATTCAGAATATACGACTGAAAATAATTTTAAGATAAAATTTCAGGTGCCGTTTGACAGCTTCGGTGGAAACAGTGTTGAACAAAATACCGTAACAATACAATCCAGGAGAAACAGCAAAGGAAATTCAAGGCGCAAAGGGTGAAAACACGTGTGACAATATTCACTGAGAATTTTTCGATCGTTCTATTTTACAGCTATCGATGGAAGGATGTCGAAAGTCCAAGAACTTCCTTATTACGAGCAACATGGCGCCACCATTAATCTTGATCTCAGGCCCGTCGTTGTCCTCGAGTGAACCGACTGTATTATCTACGAGATATCCTCGGTACACCGTACTATACTTACTCTAGAGCGTTGTATCCCTGACAAATAGATATGCCGCCGATAATATTTGACATTTTGTGCGAGCCCCGTTCACCCAAATACTTGGTAACCAGATTGCCGCCCAGGCTGAACCCGATGCAAACGATCTTCGTGCTCGGGTGCTTCTCGGTCAGGCTCTGCAGCATCACGTGATAGTCCTCCGTGTGCCCTATAGAAAGTTCATCAGAGATTCAATTAACGTTTCGCGTGTAGCGGCTTCGCGGCCCCCGTGGTCCTTGAATTTTTAATGTAGCCCCCGTGGGTCGTCCGCGTCGGAAATTCGACTAGAAAGTTTCTAACAGAGTTAACGTCGTCGTCGAGACTTGCTAAATAATCGCGCCGCCGGCAAGTGCGTTCACCTACCGTAAGTAAAAATCCGCGGCGCGGTGACCTTTACACTGGAAAGAACCCCGACGTGATTAAGTACAGCGCATCGATAGCCGTGACACTGGACAAAGTGCACGAACGTTCGGATGTAGACGCTCTCGGAGCTGTTGCAGATTCCGGGACATATGGCGATGGTAATATCGTCTGCGTAACAGAAAACTGGGTTGTATAACGCTCGAACGGTTTGCGCCGCGCGATAGGGAGAAGGATTAACCCCTTTGCCCTCTGATTTCTTCAACTACGCTGCTAGAACCACTTTATCGTTAATAATTTACTATTCCTCGCAACCAGAGGCCTGCATAGGCACTGCGCAACTGTAGCGCCCTGAATATTCCTCGACGCATAAGTATATTTATTAATTTATCTATGCTCGCTCGTAATATTTCATCTTATTAACCCTTTGAACTCTGTTGGCTACAATATCGCAACAGTTATGATATTAAAGCCTTTAATGAATCTGAAACCACCCTAAAATTATTTGATTCTCCACACATCCGAATTTCGTATTAAGAAGGAAAATGAAAGATCGAAGAAATGTTATGGCATTTCTCATTTTCGCTAGGAATATTGTAAAAATTAGTTGCAGTTGATAGATTATAAAACAACCTGGCTAAGGGTTAACATGTTGAATGTTGCAGGATTTTATAGAGCAAGATACACGATATGGAAAGAATATAATATTAAATCAGTTGATTGAATTGCATTATTATTACTGTACGTTTATCTAGCTGAATATCAACACACTAATAAATTTTATTTTTAATTAAATTATTATAATTATCTTGGCAGATTTAAGTGTATTAAATTCAGAATTTAAAAGTGTTATAAAATATATTATAATAGATAATAATTTTTCATCAGTATAAAATTTTTTTTAGATTTTTTAATATATAAGGAGGATTATTAGTAATATAGAAATCTTTCCAAATCATCGTTTCATTGAGTGAACTATAGTAATTCGATTTGGTTGGGTGTCACCGGTGACCTCCATTCAACGTGTTAACGATCCTACGCGATTCTCTTATTTCGTCAAAAAATTACATTGCATTTGCTAACTTCTCACGATACTTCTGCCAGCGTTCGATATTATAAAGAATCACTTTTACAACGCGTTTATGTAATGTTTACAATCTAGCAGCGGTACCTGTTCTCGTTAACGATCTACGTTTGTTTATTGACGTAACGGAGATAAGTAAATACATTCTAGCGATCATCCGACGTTGCTGCTGTCCGAGATTAAGGTTATCAATCTGAAAATGACTGGAAGGTCGTGACAATTATCAGTTATTAATATACCGAATGAACACGGAATTGTTGTGTATATATCTAATAACGTGTCGTGTACTCCGTCGATAATGATCCAGCTGTGTCTCGACTCGTTCGGATACTCGGGTCTTCAATTATAGTGAATGATGGATCGCGGAGTGTACCGATTTCCGGTGGGCGTGTATACAAACGTTCATTCATCGTTTCAATTGAGAAACGGACCTTCGTAATCGTTGCTCAGCGGTTGATATAAATCGTAGGTGAGAGTCGTATCATCCGGAAGTCCGATATACACTCGTTCGCCAATCGGCCAAGGGCAGCGGACACGACCGATAACGCTGTGGACGATGGTTTGCACGTGACCACTGAAACCCCATAACCTCGTAGGCTTGTATCTGAAATATACAAGGAAAACCATACACTTTTCTCGATTCCTTTCGACTTCAACGCAACGATTCTTACGAACACAGAAACAAAAGTATATTCAATGAAGAATTTAAAAAAAAAACATTGATTCTGATAGTTCAAATCGAACAGCGAAGGTCACGCGAAGAGGTGACAATTTATAAAACATCCGCGACTTTGTGTTTGGTACTGTTTGCTGCATATGTACGAGCTTATAATACGTAAGGTAAACACTGTCTTCGAACTCACGACGAGTGAGTCATGCCCGACATGTTGTGTACATCCTTATCTATTATAAACAGCGCGTCTTTAACGTCTGACCTTGCGTAACCTTGACAATTATAGTTTCACACGTTACATCAATGGAGATTACCAGCGCGTAATTACTGTGTGGCCGAAAATTCGCTGTTATCTCTCTTTCTCTCTCTCTCTCTGGTCTTCGATCGAATTGTACAGGGTGATTCACTGTAAGTGCCCGGTTAATCAGCTATAAGCAGTCGCGGTTGTTCCAGAGTATTTATGAAGGCCATAACCGTGCGAGATATACATACCCTGAAACTCTAGGTGACTTATACTTTCACTGGTATGCACCTCGAATAACTTAACAACTCCGCTCCCCGAGTAAATGCGACGTTTACGACCGTAATCATCGTGCAAGAAAGTAATAATCTCATTTATTTTACTCCTCGACTAACACGGATAAACTAGATAGGGTTAGCCGGTAAAACATCCGTGGCCCCATTTAAACGAACGAACTTTACGACGAAATAAACCGCCCGCGACCGAAGGCAGATTGTTAGACGAGGAACAGTTCCATTTCTACTTTTTCGGAAGCAACGCATCGAACATGTTCGATGTCGCGGTTAACGGAGAGTATTATGTATGCCAGCCAGGCGCGCCGCTTTTAAGAGCTCCGGATACAAAATCACGAGGAGAAAACATTTCGACTTTTAGTGTCCCGCGGGAGAACGAAGCGAACCACCGAGGAGACGTTAGCCCGATTCTTTTCACGACCGAGGAACATCATCGCCGATTAGTTGACGTAAATCACCCGACACCTTTACTACCCCGGCAATTATCTTTTCGACGTCTGAACTAGATTTCAGGCCCACAGGGCCCGCCATTGTGTCGGCGGGCCGGTCGTTCGCCGCGTGAAAGTGTGTCTCTTCTTTCGCGGAAATTTTACAAGTTTTGCGCCGTTAACCGCGCGGCCGGGACGGTGACGCCGCCGGGCAACGGATTATTAAGCCGCTTTATTGCCGCACGCAAAAGGAGTCGCCAGTGGATCAGTGGAGCATAGGAACACCGTCATTAGACGGCAAGACACGCGCGAAACGCACTTTTGCGTCGCACAAAGGAGAAATCGGCCGGTGCCGCGACTTTTTCCGCCGGAAGATTTCTTCGGGGCGTGGATCGTCGTTTTCGAACGCGATCCTTTTTCCCGCCCTTGTTCCGCCTAGCGAGCGCGAACTGTGTTAGGAGAGCTTGCGAAACTGGAGCGCGGATTTTTCAGAAAATCCTTTTCGCCGAAAGAAGGTGAAGTAACCGTTGTCTTCCGAGCCGTTTTCTACCGGGTGTATACCGCGTACCTCGTGTATCAATGGAGCGCGCGTGATTTACGGCTTTTCTCCGCGCGTTATGCGCGCCTTCTCCGGATTTTACGCGTGCCTAATCAGTCGTTTCCGCGGTTCGTTTTACGAGCGCGACGAGATCCGTTTATACGAGCAACGATTTACTGGAATCGAGTTCCCGATTTGTTTCGACGGAAAACGCTCGGAACGAGACGCAGCTCGACGATGTGACGGTTGTCGCGAAGTCGAGGACTTCCGGTCCGCCGGTTCAAGGCGAGGTGTCGTATTACGAGACTATAGGTCGCAGAAGAGTTTAAGTCAGGCGAAACATTGCATAATTTGAACTATTTTTATCTCGTTTCATTTCGCAGTCGGTGAAATGGGATATTTCGCGTCGAACGAAAGGATATTGTCAGCTACTGGACACTCGGTTCGTTTCGCGGAGGATTCGATTGACTGACTCACGCGCGGTCAATTCCAGTTGCATAAGAATAATTTATCGGTATGAACATTGCTTCCCGCGTAACCTCGCGGTCCAGACGTTTCATACGCGTGCAGCAATTTTGTACGTGCGAAGCATCTTTTTCATTGCTTGCACGCGGTAAATATCGTGATAGGTTCCACGTTCGTGCATCGTGATTGATCAAAGTTCATTGCTGGCGAGAAGGATTTCCTTCGGTGTCTGTTATCCGGTAACTCCGTGAAACGCGGAACGCTCGAGACAATCGAGAGTAGTAAGAAGCACTTTGCTTTAATCCTCATTGAATGGTATTTATAGCTGCCTCTTTGGCTTGGAAGCTTATAGGGTAGCGATAAAAGACAGTAAAGATAGACACGAGACGTTAATTGGGTCGTCGAAGCGCGACGTTACGGGGGGAATGCCGTGTGCGTGCTTCTGCGATGATTTTAGCAGTTTAAAGTTCAATTTCAGGGATTTACTAGTCTGTTATTCTTTTTGTTATATAAATTTTCATCATAACTAGGAGGGTCTAACAGTTTCATGAGAAGTGTTAATTTTTCTGTTACTAGTTTGTTCTTGCATTAGTATAGATGTATATTGGACCTAAACTTTTAACTCATTTCTGTAGCGCCACTAATAGATCACTCGACAGTTTCGTGCCTGTTCTATATCTTGGCATTATTTCTGCACTTAATTGCAACGTCCCGGTTAACCCTATCACAGAACGACAGCTTCATAAGTATTGGCGAGATGGACACTAATTGACCGCATAATTAAATTTAATCAGAAAAATAAATACGTGATTGTTTAAAGCGATATTCCTCGATATTCCTGCTTCGACGGTAATTGGACATCGTAAATTATTTTCTAACCCTTGTGCACTTTTTAGATAGAATTCGACTCGAAAGCGATACTTCGTTTGCGATCGTACCCTTCATTGTTGAAGTGCATAATTTAATATTACCAGTTTACGTATATTACAATCGAGTTAGAGGTAAGTTCCTTTCCTTAATGGGATACCAACTTCTATCCAATTGAATTCATAAAATATTAATACAATATTCACTCGAACCACGAAGAATCAACGAAACGTGGAAGATTATGAATCTTCGGTCGAAATACAGGTTCATAATTATTTCTTAACCCTTCGTACTCGAGAGATGACTCACTCACTTGACATCGTACAGTAAAACTATAAAATTTGATATTTAGTATTATACCTTGTATAATTCACCTTTATCTCATTAGAAAACGTTAAAATATTTCTAGTGAAAAACTTCCGAGTGCGAATTGTTAATTTCATTCCTTACATTTCGAAGGACTCTCCTTTCCCATAGATATCCAAAATGATTTACAGGGATTGTTAAAATGTTATTATTTCTCCTCGCAAGTACAAAGGAAACGAGCCGTCAGCTGGAAACGTCGAGCTGTTTACTCATAGGAAAACAATTCGAAACGCGTAAAAACCGAGGCACCACCGGAACTAGAATTTTATAACGTTATGCGCCGAGTGAAATTCGCCAGCGTACACGCTCCGTTACTCGAAGAAGGTGAAACTTATCGGTCTCCGTGTACTGTCAACATTCAATCTATTTGTTTAGCAATCGGAACTTCCTAACCCCGCGGTTTAACACGTCGAACGCCGCACAATTTCATACAGCGAAATACACAGAATGGAAAAAATACAATATTAACCCTTTGCGTACGAATGTCGACATTCCGGCGAGATGAAGTTTTCATGTTTCGAAGATTAAGTCGCAAAGAAACAATTTAATTGCTCGAACACCAAGAGATCAGCACGTAGTTTCTGTTTTTCCTATCGTTTAAGTAACCGATATATAATTTAGCTTCGTTTGCTGAATATTTCGCATATTTCAAAAAATCTTCGTTCGCAAAGGGTTAAATCATTTGATTGAATTGCGTTATTATCATCGCACATTCATCTAGCTGAACATCATCACATTAGGTAGCATTATTTATGATATAAAAATATTTCTAAATAATCGTCGTTTAATCGAGCGGATTATAGTAATTCGATTTGCTTGTCACCGGTGAGATAATTTCGCGCGGAGCACGGACTCCACGATCAGTATATCTTCGTGAGGTCGGGATTTCGACGGTTTTTTCGTAAAATTGGCATCGACGCCAGGAATAAACAATAAGAGACAAAGGGAGCATGGCAACGACACGTGGTCGGTAAGAAAATCATGCCGGTTAAATCTTAAATTAGAAATTGTGTCGTTCTTATCGTCCCGCGCAAAGTTTCCACGACTTGTAACTATGTAATAGTAACGTCCGTCCGTGCCTCCTCGCTGCGCTATAGTCAACAGCAGTCACGGTCAGAGCATAATCGATCAAAAGTGAACAGTCAGTTTGTTTTCTGTTTTCCCCCGCGTTGCGATAATTAATTGCGTGACATTCCTAAACGGAGCGTGTAGTTCTTTTTCCTCGGCGCGAAGAAAACCGAGGATCGTAGACAAAATAGAATTAAACTTGCTTTACGATCGGCTTTTTTGCGGACGCAAATAAAACGTTATAGGGGACACTTTACTAATCAGTGGCGAACGGATAAAAGGAAACAATGAAGTTTTATTCGATAGGAATGAATTCAGATTGATTTTCTCGGCAAGAGGAAATACAATTACAATTTTGATATTTCTTTTAGTAAGGAAATGATAGAGATTTCTGTAAAACGTTACTAATACGTTCGTCTTTTCCTGTTGCCAATTGTTATATTAACCCTTTGAACTCTGTAGGCTCCAATATTGCACCAGTTATAATATTTCAATGAATCTTAAAGAAACTACCTTAAAATTATTAGATTCTTCACATATCCAAATTTGGTAGTGAGAAGGAAAATAAAAGATCGAAGAAATGTTATAGCATTTCTCTTTCGCTAGGAATACAATAAAAATTAGTTGCAGTTGATAGATTACAAAATAACCTGGAGTGCTAGGGGTTAATATTAAGAATTAACATTGAAAGTACTGAGAAACACGAGGAAACAATTTTTGAGTGACAAAAATCGGTTACAATGAAGATACACTTTGTTTTATAATATACGAAGTATCTACAATTGAAATACAAAATTATTTGCGAATAAAAGTGGATCAAAACCTAAAATTTCATTTCACAATTTTATTGCACGGTTTGCGGAAAAGGTAGAATGAGGAGTATTCTAATTACATCCGACTCTCGTTCTGCTTGGAAGACATTTTTGCAGAACGATCGAATGCCACGATATGCAATCATTTCCGAAGTGATAAGGTTGACAAGCAGGAATGCCCGAAACGATTTCGCTGTGACACGCGTAATTACGAGGAGGAATTTCATTCTTCGAGCGGAAGTAAAAGCGAAAGCGACGAGATTGCTAGGAAACGCGATCATTGGATAGACTGGAGGAAGTCTTTCTATAGACGTGCATCATCCGAATGGTCGTCAATTATTATTCAATACCGATTAGCGTGGCATTAAACGATCTGATTCAACGACCAGAGATCGAATCTACCGAATCAAAACCGCGAGCGATATACTGGAAACGATGCCAATCGTTATCTCTTCATTACGCGTTTATCAATTTAAACTTATCGTTATCATTATACATCTAGACTTCGTAACAAAATGAGTAACCTGTTTACAATTATTTCGATGCTGCCAAAGTTTGAGATGTTACTTGAAATTCACATTGACAGACTATTTTTAATATCAATTTCTACGTCATTTAACATATAAATCAAATAATATCAAGGATAATTGTCTTCCATAAATTTTCGATTTTTCTTCCTCTATTCGATTCAATTTATACATTTTAAGTAACAAGAAATTATTTCCGACTGCCGCTTTATACGGTGGACTAAAATGTTTGCAAGTTTTCGACAAATAACGCTGGCCATTAATTCCCGAATTGCAAAAGACGACGATAATAATTTAAAGAATTCCTTATCTAAGCAAATCGTTTGCCGCTATGGCGTCCTCATTAGACACGGAAAGAAAAATACGTATCAGCGAGCGACTCGCCGCGTTAAAAGATAATGTATTAGTCATCATTGGATAACGGTGATGTATGAGAGCCGAAGCAGTTGCTCGGTGAGATCACGGCTAAGATCAGTACGAAATCACTGAATTCCCGAAAAGGGTGAGCAACGTCGACGATCGCGTCCACATGTTCCGTCCATCGGACGGTATCATCTGTTGATCTCGGGTAGTTTCCTCGAATACGACGCTCTCGTTTTCCGATCATAACAAAACTTCTACATTCTGTTCTCGATTTTTCGAGTTCACCTGCGACTCGGTTTCATTCACGACTATTGTTCCAGGCAGGAAATTTCCTACCCGTCACGTGACGTTATTGTGAACCAACGAATTGTTGTTCCGGCAAGTGTGACTAATTAAGCTCTGCTTCGAAATACCTAATCGAGACGTCCTATTTTTGAACGTTGTTCCCTCGAAGAGAACGAATTCCCAACTCGAACCGAACATCAATCTTCCTCAACGTTACATCATTTGTATACATTTTATGTAATGTATTGCCATAAGCTCGAAACACAGATGCGTTTATCTCTCGGCGTAGATAGCGAGGTAAATACATGTGGTAGTTAAGAATTAGGCATTAATATTCATTCTCGAAAATTAGATACTTTCGGGACTGTGCGTCACAGCGTTATCGTTCTACGCTTCGCCAGCCCTCTCTAATGGCACAAATGAAAACATTAACGCACGGTCATTGCCTATTAATGAAAATTAGATCACACCCGTGCCGGACGATCATTAAAGCTACGCCCTTCGCCTCGCGATCCTTACAGCCAAACATTCCCGAATTTTCGGTACCGTTCCGACAATGATCCCGAAATCGTTTCCTCTATGATCGACGAGCCCGAGTATCCACGGTTAAATCGTCGGAGACGATTGACGTACCGTGGAATAGTACCGGGCTACACGTCTGTTGAAAATCTCCGGCGTCCAAGGCGTGACCTAACCTCACTTTCGCTCGCCCGACGCGATGCGTAGCGACTTAATCCTAACTTAACGAGTACCATGCACGACCCCCCGGTGGAATCTAAGGAATCCATGAACTTACGGTTCGGCGATGACCGGTGCGATCTTAAGGATCGTCGCGAGGAACGTTTGATCCTTGCACAGGATCAACGGCCTTTGCGGTGAACTGTTTACGTTCAGTATCCTGAACAGAATGCACAGGATCACGGCGAACACGGCGAGAAGTGCCGTGGACATTTTTCCTCGCGGCTGGTCGACGCTGCCAGAGAGCACGGAATATTCTGTATCGCGGCGGTCGGTTTTCGACGGTGATAAAGAGATTGCACCTCGGCTCGATGCTCGTACCCCGGTATCACGAAGCAGTCCGGCTTATTCGAGTGTCGTCGCTCCCGAACACGGCACTCGTGACAAAGGCGGTACGCGACTGTTTCGCGTGTGTTTTACCGGCACTTCTTGACGGTCGATTTGCGCGTGCCTATCAATAGTTACGTTCGCGGAACCTCCATCTGTCCGCACCGCTCGAAATTTCAATACGGTCAGGGGGAAGAGAGAAACAGAGTGGCGAGGCCCGAGAGGGGGAGAGAGAGAGAGAAAGAGGGTAACAAGAGGAGGAAGAACACACGCGGCGGCCCAGAGATCGGGCTTTTCGAAGGTTCTGTGGGAGACACAGGTGCCTCGACGACAGCCAACGCTCGAATGCAGGCCACGAACGAGCCCGAGGGGCAATAGACGCGTTACTCGCACTTACTAGTATTCTAAATCCGCTAACATCACAGAGGAGTCCTTCTCTTGCCCTCTCTTTCTCACCTGCCGATTCTAATGTGCTCCGTGAACCTGGATCCGAACATGCATTCATCTTAAGTCACGGTCGAGACTACGCTGTTTCCTTCT